TATATATATATATATATATATATATATATATATATATATATATTTACAAAAACAGTGATAATGATATTACAAGTTGCTCATACCCATTCAGGCATCCTGTATTGTATACTACGAAGGTTTACTCGCTGATAATAGCTGGGCTTACTCAAATTTACACGTTTACAGACTCGTTTTCCTTTAGGAATGTGTCGTCGCAGGCGTTGGCGCTTATAGTCGGTATAACCTTCTGTTAGGAAAAAATGGAGATTATCAATGTGAAATATTATATAGTATATATTTTTCAAATGGAATCTAACCAGATATATATATAAGAGAAGGCGGTGTTCACTACATGCCATTTCAATGTGCTCAAATCCCGTGTTTTATTTTGTAATTTTATAATACCTTTTCAACTTCATTTTCATTTTCTGAATGCTTTGATTTCATATTTCTGGAACAAGCAACCTATAATAATTGAGAGTGAAGAAGAACGAATAAAAAAGTGAATGTCAGCTGTGTTATCTGGAATGCAAGTACTAACTGTTGCACTAAAACACTGACATCAAAGCAGTATTTAACATGATCAATTTTAATAACTCACCACTGCTATGATAATGATGACAATAACAATGACACCAACACCTGTAGCAACAATACCAATCCGTAAAGGCATCATGTTTTTTTCCTCATGCTGTGAAACTTCTTTTTCTTCTTCGTACAATTTATCAAACCGGGGCGAGGATTCTTTAACAGCAAATACTTCTCCGTCGTAGACGAAAGTGTAATCCATAATCTGGAAAACAATTACGGTAAATTATGAGGTCACAGCTTTAATACAATCAGCTAATGAAATGAATAATATACTACTACGTTTACACCAACCTTTTTCTCCATATTAGAAGCAATGGCTTCAATGTCTACACTAGGTTGATTTGCATCTTTTATTAAATCAAATTCAACCCGGATGCTTCCCTTTGTCAGCTGAAAAAACAATATTTATTTGAAAAATGAACAAACAAACTATGTATCAATACTCGACTTTTTTGATTAGAACTATTATATGAGGTCACCTTTTTTAAATAGGATAGTAGCGGAATGTTTACCTTCATATTATGTATCATACTCATCGGACACTGAAAATTAGCAGATATGCTGTCTGTCAATTCACTGTAAATATACAAATAACGTTATGAAAATGAGTATTTATACCATCGAATCGTAATAATAATGCAATATGTACGTTTATCACGTGACGACGGTGCACATCCTTCACAGGAGTGATGTTCAAACTAAACGTGAAGATATGCACGGTATACGTAAGTACAGGGAGAAAATCAAATCGTGCGACGAAACTGTTTATTGCTGCGATGTGAAGATTTCAGACTAGATAACAACAATTACTCGCATAGTGCAATGGCGATAACTCATAATAATGACTAAACGTTTATTTTGAAATAACATTGCTGGGAATAATAACAAAAGTAATGTATTTTAAGATAATGTCAATCTAACGGCGACCGTAACCCCGTAACTGCAAATGCGCGTCACCTGGTATCATTAATTGTGGTGGTTGATAGTGATGTCATCATGGGCTGTTTTATCCACATTCACCTTCGGTTGGTGAATAATACTAGCCTGTGACTAACCCGTGACAGGTCTACGAAGAAGTGAACATACTAAAATGAATGTAAATCTAAATATGTGTTCGTTCGTTGCGTACCCTTTGAATTCTTCTTTTTCTGTTGCAATGTCATCATAATCTCCATCCAGATCAAATGTGGCCATAATGACTCTGTGTGAACGAGAATTAAATCAAATTGTGCACGAATTAACAATTACTAAAAATGCACTAAAATAGAAAATAGTTGTACAGAGAATGTACACTTTTGTACAAAGTAAAAACAAGTGAATTTCATTATACTCACAATATATTCGTCTCACCTAATCGCACGAATAAGTTAAAAAATAAAAAGAAACGCAGATTATTCAAAAATGCATTAGTAATTAGATTTTATTCTATGCAAAATGGGTGTTAACATTACATACGATAACATAACATAGCATACTTACAACATTCTATCTTTGTACATTCCCATTGTTTCTCATTACAATAACTATAGTACAAATAACAATCAAAAGTTAATTAGTATTGATTATACACTTTGTCAAATAACAAGACTTCTATTATGCTGTAAACTAATTTTTTGATGTATGTTGATTGTCTCAAATTTGTGATATGTTATTTCTCATGACATATCATAATGTGGATATAGATTCTGACTGAATCGCATTAGGATAAATAATATTTCTATTTCACATTAAATGTGTAAGTCCATTTTCTTTTAAATATATATAATTTAATAAACGATAAGAAATGTAATAATATCCAACCATTCATTACACCCCTGTGGTCTTGATTCTCCTTGTTGATAATAAATTCCAGAATATAAACAAGAAGTTGTGTCTCCTTTTCAGATAAAATGATATCTTGTTATTGGAACTGAATGTCAAATTATATGTGAAGTCACGAGGATATTGAAAATTACAACTACTATATCTTTGTTCAACAACGTTTCCAGTATTAATACACAGAAAATAATAAGTAAAATACTTACCACAAAAAATATTGGTACATGACCGAACACCATTACTGCATACACTGAAAGAAACAATATTTGAACATGTTTAAATGAGGTTCTCAAATATCTCAGATGTGCAGATGAAGGTGCCCGTTAAACAAACATACTAATACTATTACTGTGATATAAATTGCATTATTATATTAACACTAGTAACAGAGCTGCAAAAACACTTCTCAATGTTCACTATTGACGGAACTAAGCATTCTAATTGTAATATCTATAAGAACATATTCATGTTGTATTTCATTCCTGCTTAAGCTAACGACATCAATGACAGAAGACAATTAAATAATATACCAAGTGTTGCAATCATTTGTTGAGCTGAATCCCATTGGTGCACCATGTGGATATATCTGCTCTTCATACTTGCATGATCGTTTGGCTGAACATAGAAACAAGAACAATCACTGGTAGGTGTTTCAGTTCATCCAAAATGACAATGTTTAAATTAGCTTTTTTTCGGTACTACTTTAAATCACATTAAGAAATATTTACGATGGGTGACGATCCCTGATAGGGAATAAATGTAAAACAATACCTTCGCAATCAATCTTGTCTCCGTTCTTATCATAAAACTCTGCATTACATCCACCACAATAATTTGCACGGCATTCTGCATCAGGATCATCGCCGCATAGAACGCCAACACAAGGATCGACTAAACAATTAACAGGTGTTTGTCCATTAGGGCAACCTAAAACAGTGTTAGAAAATAACAGAAATTCATGTTTAAAATAAATCAATTGTATATATTCTAACAAATGGTGATTTCCTGAACTTTGGCACTGAGATATAAAAAAGCTCACCACAATACATCTCGGTACATGCCCGCACACCACGTTGACATGTGCTGCAAGAAATCACATTTTATAATAGTTTATATAGTATATCCACATTATCATACAGATACATTAAACGTATTGAAATATATGAATATTATATTTGTGCGTATTAATATCGAGGCTGTCGACAGCCATGTGTGTAAAATAAAAGGAACATACCACGTATTGCAATTGTCATCTGATGGCATGGTTTCACCTTCTCGGTATACCTTTCCTGCATGTGAGCACGTGACTTGATCTGAATAAACATACATGTTACTATTATTTAGTATTGAAGTGTATATCATCACATCATGGCTTTGTAATGTGATTATTCAATATAATCGTAAACGTAACCCATCACTAATTTGCACCATGTACATATTACCATATGGATCGGTCGCTTTTGTATGTTATCTCTTTTTTGGAAATTAAGTCTATTGCTTATCTTTTTATGTAATTTTCTCAACCTGGTATCAATATGGAATAATGATATTTCTACTCTTAAATTTACAACAACATTCCAAAACAATGTTTCACTATGTACAGGAGCACTCACGTTCGCAGTTAACCCTGTTTCCATTCTGATCATAATATTCTGCATTGCAACCACCACAATAATTTGCCCGACACTCTACTTCGATATTTATTCTGCATTCAGTGACAGAACAAGGATCCACAAAACAATTGACTTGCGGTCGTCCTTCGGGGCATCCGGGACAGCAAACTGCATATGCATCGTTTGAGCCAATTCTACAATGGTGTCCACCTGGGCAATCTTGGGAATTCGATCCTTGACCGCAGAACATATTCTCACCAGCTGATGTCTTAGCTGGAACACCGGCACCACATGGGTTAACTACAGAGCGATGCATGAAACATTATCATTATTTGTCAAACATGAAAAATACTATAGTAACAAGCAAGCAACGTGACGTATTCAATGTGATATAAGTTACTTACACACTTCACAATTAACTCCATTGTACTCCATTGAGCAATAACATACTCCATTCATGCACACACCTCCATTTTGGCATCTATTACCACAGGAATCTGCAATATGCATATGTGAATGTCATATACATATTAAGACTCTAAACACGCTAAAAGATTCTGAGGAATCAGAGGTTAGATGGGAAGAAGATACTTTTAACTCAGGGCACCCAAAACTTTGCACCAAACTTGCTATCCATTTGGTGGTGAATAAGACTAAATATGATAATAGAACCATAATACCTATTTTACAGCATTCCCATACTTACCTATTGATGTTTCACACAAATGTCCAGTAAATCCCATGGTACAGTGACAGCGATATCGTCGATCAACTGGCATATCATCAGCCCATGGTAATGATTCACATGATCCACCATTAAGACATGGCATAGAAGCACATTCACTTACTATGATATAAATGACAAGGACGTAAATAATAAAGTCAACTAAGTTAAGAATATACTATTGTCATAATCTCTGATTTTTTTTATCAGAATCCCATCCCAATTAAGAACTTTAGTTGACACAATGTGTGAATATAAGACATTGGTGTTTTTTACTTGAGCCAGTTTGTGTTTTCTATTCCATGAAATAGTTAAGCTTCATCTTAACTGATTTGTACCCACTGAGCTGGAACTGAATATGAAAATGAACAAGTATGTGTAGTCTTGATGAATATTTATGGTGAATTACTATTATTATATGCTGCTTGTATTGAAATTAATATTGCATCTTCAAAGAATAGTGAGTTATAGTTGGATGGAGTGATAGAGCAGTTTACCAATTGTTCTGCAGCAATATTACCTTGCTTTAGAAACATAACGTTCATTCAGTGGTTTTGTTGTATTGATGTTGTATTTTTTTTGATAAACACCAATCTTCCCCCAAAATAACTATTAACTAAATATGATATTGTAATCCCAAACACAAAATTACTAAACTATTTCTTTTCAAATGTGAATTTCATATCTGAAACAACTTTATTCTTTCAACATATCACTGATTAAAACATTAACTACACTGGCCCATACCTGTAATTGGTGTTTCACAGTGTTGTCCTGTGTACTGGTCTGTACACGCACAGTATGTTATTCCTCCGGCAGTACATTGACAAGTTCCTCCATTTTGACAACGGTGGTTATGGCACGGGTCAGCTGTAGTGAACAGGAATATTACAGGTAAAGTACTGTACAGTTTTCTTACACTATTGTGAATTTGGCAATTTTACGTTAAGAAAACACATTCGTAAAATTACATTGCAGAATACCTCTAGTTAAATTACACAATACTGTCAAAGTGCCAAATTTGTAGTTCTCGGATTTACAAACATGTTCAAAGTATTACTAATATCTCATATAAAAATAGACCAGCATATTCCTTACCTCCAATGAATGTTTCACAGTGCTGTCCAGTGTACTGGACTGAACATATACATGATACCATTCCTGTTGTGCTACTTTGACAAGTTCCTCCATTTTGGCATGGATGGTAAGGGCAAAAGGTTGTAGCTGTAGCGAACAGTAATATCACGTGTGAAACATAAACGTGTGCGTACACACTTGCATATTCAAAGTAAACAAATAATGCAGTATAAGTCATTCATGACTCTATAATGTATTCACATATATCGTAATATACCACTGTCCATATTTGATGGTGACTTGAATTGAAACCGAAGTTTAGAAGTGAACTCGTGACAGCAACAAATCTAAAGTTTAGGTATATAAAACATGGGATTCATTGAGATACGACTATAGAGCAGTTATTACCTGTACTGTGTTCACATCGCAGCCCTGTAAACCCAGTTACGCAGATACAATAATTAACAACATTAGGACCGCTTACACAGGTTCCTCCATTGTGACAAAACGTGGTAGTGCAAGTTGATCCACCTTACAAAGAAGGGCGATACAATACATATGATCAACTGCTCTTGTTAATCCAACACACTGTTTTGATTATTGCATTAATTGATTGTCATTCAATACTTACCATTTAAATGTATTTCACAGAAGACACCCGAGTACCCACTTGGGCAATAACAATAAGTCATTCCAGTCGACAACACTGAACATGTCCCATCATTGTGACATATATTATTCTGACATTGCATTACACCTACAATATGTTTTAACATAAATATATTTATTTGATAATCTCAAAATATATCATTCTTCTTACGAACATTGTGAAATATAATTACAGAAATTAAATGATAACGAATTGTCATTATTAGAAACAAATTTTGTGTTGTACAGAGAGATTTATTTATGAATTTAATTATTACATAGTATAAACAGTCGACACTCAGGTTGGATTTTTAACCCACATTTTACGTAAAAATGGCCAAAAGTAAGTCATGCTATGTGCCCCAGATGTTGCCCGAATGGCTTATTGGACTTCCTGGTCACGTGGTACAAGTATTGTGAACCAATGATTGACACAATATATGGTGTGACGTCATGGCTTGTATTTGAGGTATGAATGGACAAAATTTGAAATTATGACTTAACACTCTTTAGGTACCGAACATTCCTACACTCGCACTAGTTAGCCCTTGGCTTGTTAATTTATATAATCTAACCACGTATCTACCTTGGTGCATGGCGAAGACTGCGTTTAGCATAGAACTATTGCAGGGCGAGCAATGCTGCCAGAGATAAGTGATCATACCAAGCATAAATCTTGTTGTACCTAATAAACTATGGTTTCACATAGTTCATGTGTAGTTTCATATGTTCAAGACTGACGAGAGTGAATTCGTGTATCTATTTATATATTCACACGAGCTGTGTAACTTTAGAGAACCCGCACACGAAGTGGTAAAAAATATTGATTATTATTGGGTGTTTGGGTTAATATTTGATCCGATCATGTGAACGCGTGACAATCTGTCACAACTTTTATTCGTTCAAGACATCACGGATACCGATGAAAGCAACTGCACTGGTCCATACCTCCAATGAGTGTTTTATAGTGATTTTTTACAGTGTGTCTGTACACATACAGTATGCTATTTCTGTGGCGGTTCTTTGACAAGTTTCCCAATTTTGACAAAGGTAGTTATGACATAAATTTATATCTTCAGTGAACAGTAAGAATCATGGGTAAATGTAAACTTTTACAGTACACACTGTTATCAAGTGTATATTGTGAATATACACATAATGCAATTAAAACTATTACACATGATATACTTTAACATAAATAACTTCATATATATTCATATATATTTTAATTATTTTAATATACCTGACATAGACTTTAAAATGTGTATTTGGTACCTAGGAGCAGGTACATGCAGCACGCGACCTGATTGAACTGCAACTCTGTATGGAGGCTGCTTCATTGGTAGATTGGGACAACACCCAATGTGACCACCTATGTGGCTTTTGTGTGACTGGGGAAGGTGGATGTTTTATGTTCGGCTATGAAGGCATTGAGGGACAACCATTTCTTTGAGAGTCGACCATGCCAACTATGCTTACGTGAATCACGACAGCGAATTGTTGAAAGACTGAAGAACACCTGGTAACGTGATATTACACACAAACACAAACGAACACCACCAAGGTGGGAATTTATTGTAATGAATTGTATTGTTGTGAGATGATTCTTTAAAATTTAACGTGCCATTATTTCGGGACAAAGTTTCTCAAGGACCCCATCTCTAACCTAAATCCTAAATGATATGCCCCTCCACATTAATATACGTCCTCTGAAGAGGGTTGTATGCAAATAGAATGGGGGATGGGCAGAGTTATAGATGAGGGGGCCAAGAACCACACAAGTACGTTTTGGCGTCTTTATATTTTGGAACCTCTTGACAATATACTACTGTTCATATTTGGGCTTCCTAACAAGGGAATGGATG